TTATTAAACCACTTTAAATACGCTGGGTACACAAGAAAAAAATGTTTATCAAAAAAGTTAATGTGATTTGCATTTAAAACTGATTGATTTAAAAAAAAAAGGATGTATTATCAATAGTTAGTGAATTGAACGAATTGTTTCCGGTCACTGTGCCCTGAAAAATTTTAGAACTATTAGATATTTTCTTACATCAACTTTTTTATTTTAGATAAGGAAAAGAAGATAAGCTTTCCAGCTTCAAAATCCATCTGGTTTCTTTACATTGAACTAACGGAATAAACTGAAATAAAGAAAATCTCTCTCTACACCCGCATAAAAGGAAACGTCTACTTCAACATGTACTGGTTGACAAGCCACTGAACTAGTGGAACATTCTTTAAAAAATGGTAATAAAACAAATATTGCTTAGTATTATTTTTTGCATGTAATTTAAATTATTGTAATAGATAATACGTTTACACCTTAGCACAAGTTGACAATTTTAAATTTTTAAAAAATAAACCAGCATTTAAACTAATTTTTTTAAAGTACCAATTTTCATGCATGCTGAGCTAGACTAAGTCTTTTAGACTGAATAGCTTCTTGGTGTCACTGACCATTAAATATATTCTTAGGAAACTGTCAATTATATAAAAACACTGCTGTCAGGTGTTCTGTTCTTGATAATGCAACAAAAAAAGTTAAAATATGAAATTTTAGTCACATGGAAAACAAAGTTTTAGCTCCCAAAGAACTATATATTTGCATGAACACACAAATTATGGTATTAAAATTAATCACATTATACAAATTATTGCTTATGGATCTGACCCTAAAGACATTTAGACATACTTAACCCAGTGGAATTTAGGGATGTAAAAGGTTTACCAGTTAGCCAGTTACTTGGTAAGCATTAGCCTTACCAGCATGTTTACCCAGTAACTAGTTAACCAGAGGGCTGGGCCCAGCAAGAACAGCCCCTCAGCTGCGTTGGACCCAGCTGGGTGGGAGCAGTCCCCTGGCTAGCAGGACCCCAGTCGTGACAAGGTGGGCTTGACTGGCTGGGGCAGCACTCCACAGTTAACCAGTTAAACAATTAAAATGATATTTTTTAACTAGTTAACTTTTTAATTAGGTATTTACTAGGGATGTAAACATTTGTTTAAAATTCCTAGTGGTTACATGCTGCAGGCTCTGCAACATAAAGCTTAAATAAGCTTTATACTGCAGAGCCCACAGTGAAGCCTCCCAGGGAGCAGGGCTGCCTGCTGCAGCAAAGCCTCCTCCCCAGAAGCAGAGCCAGCAAGTGCTGCCGATCCCGCTAAAGCCACTTCCCCGGGAGCAGGGTTGGCAAGGGCTGACCACTCCTCTCCTGGGGAACCAGTGTGTAACCTGTGGCAGAGGGGCTGGGCCCACCATAGACAAGAGCTGCTCTGGTGCCCCTGCCTGCCTTGGGTGCCCGCAGGGCTGGAGCAGCCCCTTGCCCGGCATGGGTGAGGAGCTGTCCAGATCCTAATGCAGTTAACCAGAACCAGTAAACATTACTCATTTAGGGTGATGCTTACCAGTTAACTTTTAATGACTTGATCAGTAACACTTACGCCTGAGGTGTATGAAGACCCATTTTGTTGGTATCCTGCACTCTCAGAGGCATCATGGATTGCCGGCCACTGCTACCACTGGTACTTGAGCTGCGCCGCATTTTTAACTACAAGGTAAATTATGCTGATAGAAGAGAAATAGTCACAGTATCAAGGAACATTATCATTCTTTAACATCACAGCCAGTATGTGCAGGGGCTGAACTGAATTAGTGTGGGTTGTTAAGTTGGACCAGCAACTATCTGATGGCCCTATTATTCCTCAAGAAATTGAAGTTTAGTTTAAGAAAAAAAATTAGTAATCATTATATTTGCAAAGTACATTTCCCAAATATGTACTGCCTGAGCCTGCAGACAGACACTGAAACAAGCACTAGGGAAGGAATGATGTCCTTCATTCACCTTAGTGGCACACTAATGCTAAAGGCCAATGATAACAGTATTAAACATTTAAATGAATTATGTTGCCATTGTGGTTAGGGATATAATAATCAACTATTTAGCTGGTTACCCAGTAAATAACTTATTCGAATGCTTACCAGGTAACCAGTTGGTTGGCCAACTGCACCGGGCTGAAGCAGCCCTGGCTCAATCCAGCTGGCTGCGTGCTGCCGGGGATGGTAGGATCTCAGTTGCACTGGAGCAGTCCAGGCCAGTGAGACCTCAGCCCTGGATGGCAAAGAGGGACACCAGCTGAGCTAGAGTGGGGCCGGCAAGACCCCGGCCCAACTTGAGTGACCTGGGCCGGTGGGATCCCGGCCTCAGCTTTGCTGGTCCAGGCAGGACTCCAGCAGGACATCAGGCAGGTCCCGGCCGCTCTGACATGGCCTGGAAGGGTGGATGGGAACCCAGCCCTGGCTGCCATCTGCCTGCCAACAGTTAACTGGTTAAACAGCATAATTTTATCCACTTAACACAGTGGTGGGGAACATAAGGCCCCGGGGCTGGACTGGAACTGGCCCCCGAGGATCAGGGTCCCTTAAGCATTGGGGAGTCTGCGCTGGCGCTCCAGTCCCCCTACTGCTCCACCACAGGGCTGGAGCGCACAGAATCTACTAGCTTGGATCCCCCTAGGTTCTGGTGTGGTAGGGGAATGTGGGGAGTGTCTTTCGCCTCAGTCAGGGGCCACGTCAGTGAGGGTTTTTTCCCCTCACTTGTTTGCATCCCCCTGACTGATTTTTCTGTGGGTCGTTGGCCCCTATCCCACCCCACCCCACCCCACCCCTGGTTTAACAGTTAACTATTTTAATGGTTATTTACATCCATAATTGTGGGATGTAGTGTTAGTTCCAGGATATTAGAGAGACAAGGTGGGCGTGATAATATCTTTTATTAATCCAACTTCTGCTGGTGAAAGAGATATGTTTTTGAGATCCCCAAAGCTCTTCTTCAGGCCTGGGAAAGATAACCTGAGTGTCACAGCAAAATTATAAAGGGGAACATGTTGTTTAGCATGAGATGTTAAAACTAGGGATGTTAAAATGTGTGCATTCAGGTAAACATGTAACTGCTGAAAATGTCAGCCATTACATTTTTACACATGTGGGGGGGGGGGGGCGGGAGGGCCA